TCATGAGAAATCTCCTGGCTGATTTTATGGGTTTCGTTCACGGTAGTTAGGATGGAAGTATGTATGTGGGTGCATTTGAATTCTAACTTTAAAATATATTTCAAAATCATCAATTAGGTAATAATTGACAGAAAATACTAAGGAAGTTTCTTACAAGGCGTTCAGGTATATAAACAGGTAAATATATATATATATAGAATTGAGCGAAAAATAAAATTAAATGCAAAATGTATAGGAAAATTTGTCATCAATAACAACTTAAATTTCAATCAGAAATTTCAAAACATGTACATATTAATAAACGTAATTGGGCTCCTTCTTTAGAGGAAGCCGTGGTAAAAATTTCCACTGGGTGAGAGTGAAAACTCAGAAATTTTTAACCGAGGTAAAAGCTTCTTGTGAATTTTTTTTGATGATGAAAAAATATTATTTTAATTTATTACATAGTCAGCATTATTAATTACCTCTGCGTAACTATGCGTTCTTATATTTGAGATTGAGAGCAGGTAGCCATTGCATTCGGAATAATTACTAAATTAAATTACGATTATTGCTAACAATATATTTTTACCACTTTATTCACGCGACTAATAAATATTAAAACCTTCTCATTATGATCACTAAATTAAAACTGTAATCAGAAACGCATCTTATTCTGCTCCTTATAATTCCATAAAATCATAATTATTTTAGGCGTTTTGCTACACTTTAATCCCTTTAATCATGATTACTAGTTCATTGCACAAAATCTCGCAACTCACCATCTAAATTTTAAAATCTGGTGACTCTCAAGATTAAAAAAGATCGTAATCAGGAGAATCTTCCTCAATCCGCAACGATTTCCTAATCTTTAAATTCTTAACTAGGCTGCCAAACCTACAAGGAGCATGCCGCTGCCTGCAGCCAAGCTTCTTCAGCTTCCTGCAGGACTCGACGGAAGGAACAACCGGCGTGTACGAGGCCGGTTTGTTCCCTCACCTCAACGTCACTGCGCTGGCCGGCATTGGGAGCGCCGTGGCAGGCTGCGCTCAGCCCTTCGACCGCGTCTGTGAGAAAGTCGCGTGGACTCCGCCGACCTCAACGCCTAACATCCGCAGGGAGCGCTGCTCTGTTATCAGTAACAGATGGCCTGATGTCTGTTTATAGGTGATAAGCAGCTGACGATGACATTATGAACGCTGCTCTGTTATCAGTAAAAGATGGCCCGATGTTTGTTTATAGGTGATAAACAGCTGACGAGCACTGACATTCCGGACGCTGCGCTGTTATCAGTAACAGATGGACCGATGTTTGTTTATAAGTGATAAACAGCTGACGATGACATTCTTGACGCTGTTCTGTTATCAGTAACAGATGGCCTGATGTTTGTTTATAGGTGATAAACAGTTGATGATGACAGTCTGGACGCTGCGCTGTTATCAGTAACAGATGGCCCGATGTCTGTTTATAGGTGATAAGCAGCTGACGATGACTGGACGCTGTTTTGTTATCAGTAACAGATGGCTCGATGTTTGTTTATAGGTCATAAACAGCTGACGATGACAGTCTGAACGCTTTTCTGTTATCAGTAATGGATGGACTGATGTTTGTTATAGGTGATAAGCAGTTGGCGACGACATTCTGAACGCTGTTCTGTTATCAGTAACAGATGGCCCGATGTTTGTTTATAGGTGATAAACAGCATGACGATGACAGTCTGGACGCTGCTCTGTTATCAGTAACAGATGGCCTGATGTTTGTTTATAGGTGATAAACAGCTGACGATGACATTCTGGACGCTGCTCTGTTATCAGCAAAAGATGAGCCGATATTTATTTATAGTTGACAAGCAGTTGATGATGACATTCTGAACGCTGCTCTGTTATTAGTAACAGATGGTGCGATGTTTGTTTATAGGTGACAAGCAGTTGATGATGACATTCTGAACGCTGCTCTGTTATCAGCAAAAGATGAGCCGATGTTTGTTTATAATTAAAAACAGTTGATGGTGACATTCCGGGCGCTATTCTGTTATAAGTAACAGATGTTTTCCACGATTGTTTATAAGTGATAAACAGTTGACAGTCTGGTGTCAGCGCTGCTAGGTCATCAGTAACAAATTACTACGTTTTGCTTAAATGATAAAAATTTCAATTTAGTTCAGAAGAGCAGTTTTTACAAATGATTGTCCTCATAGAGGAATTATCATGGTGGTTTTTTAATCAATGCAAAATTTGTGGTAAACATAAATAGAGCGCCAGGCAACAATGAACTTTTGCCATAGAAAGCTCGTTTGCTTGATTCAAAACATGAAATACATTTTCTCTGTGCGAAGATGAGTAGACAAACAATTTTTATTTTCACGGCAATGCTAAAATGTAAAGAAAAATATAATGATGCAGGTACATTTATTTTTTTGTCATTACTTTAATTCGAATATTGATTGAAGATGCGATGCTTGTGACAAGCTTCTATGGTGAAATTAACGCTTTACGAATGGATGAACGTTTATTTAAAATAAAATAATTTGTGTATTCAGTATGTAGGAGTGCTTTGAAAAAAATCATTGTTGGATAGGTTATTCATTTAGTGAATTCATGAGACGTTAAGAATTTTATATCTTATATTACTCTATGTTTCACACTTTCTGAATTACTATAATTTCTATCATATTAATTTATCATTATTAAACGCAAAAATACCCTCGAAAAAATTCATGCTTACATCTAATTTATTTTCGAACGCTCATGCGAAATAATTTTTTTTGTTAATTGATCATGAAATAGACAACCGATAAAGAAACTAATTAAAACTCCTGAGTGAAATTTGGTGCCGAAATTATTCAACTTGAAATGTTTTTTTTATTGCTTAAGCTTGTGCCTTGCGCTGACGACGACATCATCTTGAGGGTTAAAAGTTTACTTCAGACACTTCGATGAGAAAATAACTATTTCAAGCTAAATTGCAAGTGTTGCTAATGACGTAGTGGGAAATTTCATCCTTAATTTTAACTGGTGGAGTATTTTTTCAATATAAATGAGAATCATTCGCCATAGCTCAAAACAATTAATTTAACCGAAATTATAAAAATAATTAGGTATGTATTGTTTTTATTATACCAAATTTTTAAAATGGAACATGACAAGAATATTGCACTTGATCCAATAACTTAGAATCTAGAGCTCGATACCGAAAGCCGTCTAACACGTATTCGGAATCTACGATGGACAATCGCAAAATTGGGTTTGGAAGACAATAATGACAAAAAATTTACGTTGAATAGTTTGGAATAGTTTTTAGTTGAGACGTGTTATGCTATATCGGTTCAAATGTTTGTTGTGTTAGATTTGTTGGGGAATTTTATTCTGTCGAGATATGTTACGATATTATATTTGTTGAGGTAAATTGTGTAATGTTGTGTTAAACCTGCTGAGAAATGTTGTGTTATACATATGACAAGGTATGCTATGTTACAACTGTTTAGATTTGCTATGTGACATCTGCTGCGATACATGACAACATGACAACCTGCGATACACATGGCAAGATGTGCTACGTTACATCTGCTAAGCCTTGTTGTGTTATACTTGCTGCATGCATTTGTTAGTGAAAATTCATCTATCATCAAAGAATTATTGCTTATATTGATGGTGAATTATCATTCACTACTAGCTGAGTCCGTATAGCTATCAAAAAATTTTCGTGCCATTGTTGTTTATTCGTGGTATATTACATTTGTTGTGTTAGATTTGTTGGGGAATTTTATTCTGTCGAGATATGTAACGATATTATATTTGTTGAGGTATATTGTGTTATGTTGTGTTAAACCTCCCGAGAAATTTTGTGTTATACATATGACAAGATATGCTTTATTACATCTGCTAAGTCTTGTTGTGTTATACCTGCTGTATGCATTTGTTAGTGAAAATTCATATCTCATCAAAGAATTATTGCTTATTATGATGGTGAATTATCATTCTCTACTAGCTGAGTCCGTATAGCTATCAAAAAATTTTCGTGACATTGTTGTTTATTCGTCGTATATTACGTATAAAGAATAAGAAAACTGAGCTTATTTTTTGTCATTAACATCGAAAATGATATTCACGAGTAATTATGACGGTTATGCCGTAATGTCCAACAAAGGTTAGCCATCAATGTAGATCTGAAATTATGGATTTAACCAAGGATTTAACCTTGTCAAGGATATAACCAATTTAACCAAGTTTGGAAGTTATTAAAATAGTATTCTTCTCAGTTCGGTGCTACAGCATTCATCTACAGATTGTCATAGACTCACTAACTAAAAATTAAACTTGAGCTCTCTCTCTAGTTCAGCATAAAATTCATTGAATAAAATCACGATGTATCAATTGAATACTGCAACATTCTCCATCAAAAAATAAATCGATTTTTTAGAGTTTTCCGAAGGCTATAAAATTTTGTTCGGTTTTGTAGAAGTTCGACGACCAATATTATTTTATTATTAATTAAATTAAATATTACTCAAGTTGTGAAGCTCGCTTAAATTAGAACTACGAAAATATAATAATCTACTTAATATTCAGTGTAGGAGTTTGCAGTGAGGAGGCAAGTCGTAAACGATTTTAGCTGGTAATTTTTAAAACTGAAAATGAGTTAAATTTGGGCGTTAAACCAATTTTTTTAGTTCCGTTGGCATTCATTCCTTTTATAATAAATTACAAATTCTGATAAAAAACCTTGTCGACACCGAACACGATTTTTCACAAATAAACCGAAATTTTCATGCGAAGCTTTGAGAACTTGAATTACCTGTTCTATAGTTAGAGGGCTTCAATGAAAATGAATTTTGTTACCAATTTCAAACACAAGACGTCTGAAAATGAGAGCGAAGTGAACTCTAACGTTCGCTTCACTGTCTTAAACCGCCTACTTGAGAGGTCAAAATTCTGACACCGACGGCTCCCACGCGGCGCCAGCAGCCTATAAAAGGGAGGCGAGCTGCTGGCTGTCCCTCAGAAGACGCCAGTTGGCGGTAACGATCGCATCTGCTGCTGCTAAGCGTCTCGGCATCCTGGTGTCAGAGGCGACTTTGCTTCCCTGCGGTAAGACCACCAATTAAATCATCGTAGTTGATTTAGGCACAGTTATGCTATTTCGAGAGATAATGCAAAAACTTTCCAAGTTTTACGTTAAGATTTGTTAGGTAAAAAGATACCACACAATTGCTCCTGTACTGCAACATATAATATTATCAAAATAATATATAAATAATAAAATGTTGGAAAAATTCTTCAACCAGCCTTCTTAGAGCATACAATGAAGAAGCAAAGCGGGCTCGTCTTAAGACAGAGCCGCGGCTCTCTCAAAAATGTGATTAAACTGTATACAAGGAAGGTCACCCGAATTTCCACTGTACGTTGCGTTGTGACACATTTTTCTAAATATTTACTTAAGGTGTTAAGTTGTTGTGCACAACCCTAGCCTATTTATTCTTCTAATCTATGGTGCATGAGGTTTTCACTTCATTACGAATGCTTTGGCAGACCTGTCAAACTTGGCGTCTGTTAACTCCTATTGAATCATATGCTAATGAGTAAAACCATTGCTTGACCAGCACCGTAAATTCCTATTTAAACTTGGGGAACATTCTACTTTGTTTGCCGGGTAAATTTAAATATCTAATTCTACTTTAATGTAATAACATAACCTGTAAATGCCAAAGTGTTCAAGCATGTTGTGGTGTATTTTAAATGTGGAAAAGGTGGGACCTATAAACTAGTATCTCACGCGGTGTTCAATCACGGCTAAAGAGGCTGCGTTTACACTATCATATAAAAACTTACATAGTTTGATTTAATTTACACAGTTTGATTTAATTAAAACTTACACAGTTTGATTATCAAAATGTGTTATCAAACTTTAAAAACTTACACAGTTTGATTTAATAGGGTGAGCTTTGATTTGGAATTGATGCCATATTGAAACTCTGAATTATTAACAACATTGTTCTCGTAACGCCGTGGTTTTAACATAACGTATCTTTTTATTCAGTATGTCATCCTCAGAACTTCAAGTTTAGGCCTACATAAAGCAGACCTGGACGTTATTTTTAGCGCATTTTCTAATTTATGGAAAAATGCACTATTGTGCTCGCTATGTCTGTCTGTCTGTCCGTCCGTCTGTCCGTGACCTCAAGTTTTCGTCGAAGATAAAATGCGCTCTCGGTCACTCACTGCAGTGAGTACCGAGTTATATATTTTTTTAAATTTGGATTGCCTCGTTGGAAAGAACAACTTCCCGTACAGCATAAGATATCTGATTAAACCAGTTGAACTCCTTTCATTGTTGTCAATTGTTTCGAACCTTGATGAATTTGTGCGAAATAACCTGTAGACTAGGATGGATATATCTGCGTGGGGAGAAATACCCTACAAAAATACCCTAAAAAAATACCCTACAGTGTCTAAAGTGCAAGAAAAAATATAGCCTAGTTGTTGCGGGCGCGGTCCTGTCAAGTTAAACAATCCGTATAAATTAATAATACAAAACGTAAATCCGCATAAATTAATAATACAAAACTGAAAACGCCGAAAATTTAACTCAGATTTACCACAGCAACTAGAGTTCCTCACGAATAATTGTATATAATAAAATGATAATGGAACTAATAAAAATGAATACTTGTAGCGTAGATATTAATACACACTAAATATGCACTCATGCCATTTTGATTCACTTGAGCATGAGAAACTTTCAGGGAAAATATACTTCGAATCTTTGCAAATAATGTTTCTCTAAATAAAAATTATTGACATCTTAATCTCCAACCTACCGGCGCTAATTACTTACATAGTTTTCTAAATATGATGCCGTGGCTCCGAAATTGTGTAATTTAAAGAGTAAACATATATTAGCACAAAGACTTTCATCAGTACTACTCAAGAGTAGAGACACACGAATGCTACTGAAGCGCCCACGTGGTCTGTAAAATTGGGACGAGGCTTTGCATGTTAGAAGCGTCACGCAATTCTGTTGATACTCTGCCCACACTGCGTGGATCTATTCTGTGTAGATATTTCTGCTGACGTAGAAATGCTGAATAATATTAAGAGAGAACAAGAAGATTTTATGAGTTGTAATTGTGCAAAAAAGAACATTAAATGGGGTTTTTAGGCAGCATGAATTTATTTTCTGACTATGAATCTTGAAGTCATGCTGCATATGTGTAGAGTGTGAAATGATGGATTATTGAGAAGAAAATGTTCTTGAATAAATGAGTATTTCGACGAGACGAGAAACGAATGACTTGTATGCAGATATACAATTATAGGGTAAGAATCAAAGTAAAAGTTGCCTATAGTGAAATTTGAATCATTTCATTCATGTTAGAGCTACATAACCAAAAAAGGCATTAGAACATTGCATCTAGTCATATCTTTACTTCTAAATCGTATCTTTATTTTGTAATCTCTATTGAATAAAATATTTTTCCATTATTTCTGCAGCAAATTGGCGAAAGACAAGAAAATCTATGCCACAAAATTTTCCGCTCGTATCGTATTGAATGTTTTCGTAAGGATAACGCTGCTCTTCATTATGTATGCCAGCTTGCCAGGGGTTCCAAAAGTGGGTGATATTGCCCCCTGGTGGCAGTGGCTAGATCTAGGGGGGGGGGGAGGTGAGGAAGAAAGGGTAGTTAGGTTTGGTAGTTACTTTGGTGGTTAATAATTTATATTCCTAACTACCTACTGTTTGGTAGGTAGTTAGGAATAACTCACTAACCTACTATAAATTCCTAACACCGTGTGGGAGTTAGGAATTTATATTCAAAATTTCGTTTGAATATGTTCCGTAGGTTGGAAGAAATTCTTTGATCACGGCGAATTTCGACCTGTTTTGCCATATAACTCCCGTATGAAGGTGAAATTTAAAATTTTTTCACAAACTAGACATCACCGTTAGGTCCTAATAAATGCGTGTTCCAAGTTTTATCGAGCTGCGTTCATTAGTTTGGGAGTATTCCTTGGTCACTGAATTTGGTGATTGGCCGTGAGACCGGCTGCGAGACTGGCCACAAGTGTGGTCTTAAATTTGTCTGAGCCGTCTTGAATTTCTAGTGCTGAAACAGTTAAAACTGTAAAAAAATATATTGGTTTACAAAATGTGGTTCCATTTGTGAACCTTTCTCTTTTACAATTGCAGCGTACTAAATATCAAGAAAGAGGCGTTTGTTAGCGCATTTTCTCGTTTATGAAAAAATGCACAATTGTGCTCGCCATGTCCGTCTGTCCGTACACGAGCTAAACATCACCGTTAGGTTCTAATGAATACATGTTCCAAGTTTTATCGAGCTGCGTTCATTAATTTAGGAGATATTCCTTGGTCACTGAATTTGGAGATTGGCCGTGAGACCGCTGCGAGACCAGCCACGAGTCCGGCCTTAAATTTGTCCGAGTCGTCGCTGTAAAAAATATATTGTTTACTAAATGGGGTTCCATTTGTGAACCTTTCTCTTTTAAAATTGCAGCGTACTAAATATCAAGAAAGAGGCGTTTGTTAGCGCATTTTCTCATTTATGAAAAAATGCACTATTGTGCATTTGTGTCCGTCTGTCCGTCTGTCTGTCCGTCTGTCCGTCTGTCTGTCCGTCCGTGACTTCACGTTTTCGTCGGCGAGAAAATGCGCTCTCTTCACTCACTGCAGTGAGTACTGAGTTATATTTTTTTATATGTGTCTGTCGGGGGGTTGAGGGGGGATGGCGCTAGAGATTCACTGGGGAGTCAAAGGGGGCGCCAGCCTGAAAAAGATTGGGAACCAGTGATGTATGCCAACGTTTTAAGGAATAGAAGTCTTCAAGCATAAGTTTGACATAATGAGCCAACAAAATTTTTTTACAATTTGTTTATCGTCTTGTATTTATAATGCAAATTAAGCATAGAATGTGCGGAAAGTAGAATGCGTACGTCGAGAGAATCTTGCGCGGTGTGAGAACTGAGCGAAAGTAGGTCTGTCGTGAAGCATTGAACTAAGACTTAGGAAAATATTGCTTAGGATGTGGTGTAATCAAATGTTATGAGTATGATTTATTAGCAACACATGAACTTATACGATCCTGTAGACTGTTTGGAGAGGCCTTCTGACCTCAGCAACATAATTTTTAGATATTTTATAATAACGTTTTATCAATTTAACGTAGACTTCGACGATTTTATAACTGAATGAGAGAGCTTCAACAGGGAAAAATGTCAGTAACCAATAATGTAATCATTCTCTTCTTCAAAAATTTGAATAACAAATTTGATTTGATGATCGGCATTCAATTTAATTCATTCTTAAACAATCTCCATAGAAAACTACGTAACCCTGATTTTCTTCCACTATGCAAAGCTGATACATTTCTCACCATTTCCTTACGTAAGCTCCTGAATTGTCATTTGCTGTGCCTGTAATTTAGCAAAGCTCTTTAATCGCCGTCGCATCTATTCCAGGCGGAGAAGAAACGATCGAGTGACCTTCTAAAGAACGTCCCTTTCTCTGCAAATGTCATGGAACCCCTGATAGGTAAATAGTTTATCAGGACATAAACATCCAATAAAGGCAATCGCTGATTTGTTTAGCAAATTATTTTTTCTGTTTTATTTGCATTGGATAAGGCATATTTATTGGAATATATATTAACAAGTTTTGATTGATGCTGGTCTCATATCACGGCAAGGTAATCCTTTATAGATAATTGCATAATCAAGTATATTTTCTGCGTGCAATTTAATGGAGGGAAATTGGTTTGGAATAAAGTCCTGTAGAATTTCAACGAGTAACTCTGCAGTTACGATGCAAGCCGTCACAAGTTTTATATATTAACAAGTTTTGATTGATACTGGTCTCATATCACGGCAAGCTTTATAGATAATTTCATAAGCGAGTATTTTTTTCCTGCAACTGAAAGGAATTGGTTTGAAATAAAGTCTTGTTGAATTTCAACGATCAACTCTGCAGTTACGATGCAAGCCGTCACGATGTGGGCATTCCTGTTGCTGGCTGCGGTGACTTCAGCTGAAGAACAATTTGGCAGCTCTGGTGAAGGTGAGAGTAAAATAAGATGCGTTTAAAAATTACCTTTTAAATAAAACAATCCTAAAGAGGCCAGTGTCTCCGATGTTACACATGTACTATGAATTTCTTATTTTATTTTTAAATACTGAAAAAATTATTTCTAAATTTGTTTAATATCGAAAAATTAATTTTCAAAATTATTTATTCCGTCAATTGATTCATGCATTGTCTCCGACTTTATGCAAGTGTGCAAAATTTCAGATCGATTGGACAGGTAGAAGTGTGTTAAATATTGATTATAAGATTTGTAACAAACAGACAAACAAACAAACAAACAAACAACAAGAAGTGAAGTTAAGGAAAAGTGTTGTAATAAAGGGCAAATTAATCTCAATTAGAAAACGGAGTATAAATGTTGAAGCCGGTTTACCCTTTTGCTCAACTCATGAAATGGTATTGTTGAACACCATAACCTTATATTATTATTGGGGTAAAATGGAGCTGAATTTGAAATAGAAGTCCTCTTCTCGACATTGAACTACGAATCTGTGACTACGGAAATTTTCGCATATATTTGAACTTTATTAAATTAAAAGACTAAGTATCAAAGACTGCTCCATTAGAAAATTAATCATTTTAGTTTTCACCTTTCATTTGCTAAATGTTATTGGATTTTTCTTCAATCTGATTTCGATTTTAGAAGTGTTCAATATTCTCAACACAAAGCCATTTTCTTACTTTCTCTATGTCATGAATTCAACAAACCGTTTGTTAATTTTACATTTGTTTTAATTCACAGAAGGCGAAAAATTCAATTAGCATTTGCTAAGCGCCTAATATTCTATTAAAATCTTTTTCAGGTAAGCATTAAGACCACTTTAAAAAATAATATTAATTTCGAGAAAAAATGTAAAATTTCAATGATTGATAAAAAGTTACATATCAGGGAGATTAAGAATTTGATTTTATCTAGCTAAAACGAATGATTTTCAAACCTTTGTCATTTCCATCAACTACCAGAGTTCAAAATAAATATGGATTCAAATATGTATGCATACCATTAATGCAGCGAGTTGATTTTTCAACGACATGCCGCGTATCCCGCGTGATCGATGTCAGGCCGTGCGCACGTGAAGATGACATTTGCTCAACAAACTGTGTGGAACTTATGGCCCTCTAGCGGCCGATGACATTCGCGTATTGTCTTATGACAATTATTATGAGTATTCGCTGCTGAAAAATTACACCATTTGGCATCAGTTATAGTCCTATTTGTCCTTTATTTTGTCCACTTAGTCCATAAGTTATTAATGAGTTGAAAAATCAAACCAGAAATTTGTTTTGATGATGAAACCAGATGCGTGTTTTTTGATATTTGGGGTTATTTCCAAAACCTATACAAATTTCAAAGCAATAACAATCGTGACACATTCGAGCAGTGGTATTATTTATTATTTCACGCAATATTTTGAAATAATACTTGTAAGAATCATAAATTTGACGAGATATGTATTCGATGATGGAATACATGAATGAATTATTTTTATTTAATGAATTGATATCACTAGTGAGGCTCGCTCAATTTTGTAATATATTTTTTTATTATATTTATTTTATTTTATTTATTAAGTTGGATCTCTGTAAGGATTTTGCACCATAGTCCAGGTCGAGTTTTCACAAGTTCTTGAGAGGTTCGGCAGTTGCATCGCCTGATAGATAAAGTAAAGTTTTTTCGGTCTTTCAAATTTAGTCGCTGAATAGTAGAGTTTTTTAAGTAGGCCTATCGATGTGACAAGTTCACGCAACTGATAGCACTTGCGGCACACTGCCCTCAGCTTTATGTTTCCTAAGAAAACTTAATCAAACTTTGATCAGTTCAAGAATAGAAAAAAACAGCAACCATGCCATGAGTTTGGTTTTAAAAAGTAGATCTCAGGGATGAATAATTCAAATTGATGCATGTATTTATTTTATTCATGTATTTATGCTCATTACATTAAGTAGTAGGAGGAGCTTAACAGATTCTTTTCGATTCCTAATTGATAATTTTAACAACTATATTGAGCCCTAGATTCTGCTTCTTTTCAAATTAAGAAAAAACTGTTGGGATAATTAAAAAAGTTTACAATGATAATTCTTGTCATTCAGTGCACACCCATTGAGCATTTTCCACGCGTTTTCAGTAATTAAGTCACTGAAAAACATTCCTCTGAAATAAAGAATCCAATCGATTTGATAGTATTTAACTTTTTTGGTAATTAAGGAAGACATCAGTGTACCAGAAATATGCGACAAGACAAGTATCGGGGCTCAAATTAATTTCTTGAGAATTATTTAATGGAATTTCTAATATTCCTGCAAACGTATATATAGAAGCGGGAGTTATTCCAGTATAGTTCGTTGAAGGTAATTTTAATGAGGCAATATTGGACTATAGGCTCGTCTATGCTATCGCCAGCCGCGATTGCGATAACTGATGGCCACGTCAGTAGCCTGACCACAGCTTGCTGATAACAACGATGCTGACAACTCTGCATAACATCTCATTCTCATGAACAACGTTCAATTTTCAACATGAACAATGAATTTTTATTATTCTTAATGTTTTTATTTATTGTATACCATTTCCGTCAATTAGTTTATAAGAAAGAAATTTTAAGTACGCTGAGAATTCGTAAGTGCGAATATAACATGACTTGCTTTCACTGAGCACAAGATCTTTTTACTTCAAAATGTCTCCTTGCTTTTGTATCTCTTATAAAGTTCATACAATTTAATGAGTGAAATTTCTAGGCCATAAATGATGGCTGGTCACCCAGTTTCTGCGAGATGCGTTCACACAAAATAATAAGTCTAAGTGCCGCTTTTGGTAATTTTTTCGAAAATAAGCGTTGGAGAGGCTCTGAATTTGTTAAATATTTATGAATAATTTTATTTCGAGATTAAACTATCTGCAACATTTTTCGAAACATGAGCTTTGGCTTCAAATTAACTATGACTGTCAGCTATTGTTGGTGAAAGATTTTTTTATCTTGTAACCGCAGTAGCCATGATTCTGCAACTGACATGTGCGTGTCAGAGTAATTCGAAATTCAATATCTATTTTTGAATATAATAAAAGAATCAGGCCAAGGTTTTGAAAATCATTCTTTTTATTGCAAGTCATCGGTAAAAATTTCGACATTAAGGTATACGATACTGTGAGTCTTCGAAATTTGTTAGAAATAATTCGGACCAGAATGTCGCGAGAAGTGTCGACAAGAGGCGGATTTTCTGAAATGTCTCGCCTCACAAATTGGTGTCCGATTTCATTCGTACGTGCAGATTTTTTTGGAATAGAATTTTTCGTATTAATGGAAGAAACAAATGGGATTGAAAATAGCTTAAATTACACCTTTCAATCGAAAGATGTCAGTCAAAGGAGTCAGGTACATAGCGTTATTACTAAACTCATCAGTAAAGTAATATAATGAGATCGTAATGTTCCAAATTTACATCATGTTAAGTATAGTGTAATGAAATAAATAAAATTAAGAATTCTGCCATAGATTTCAGTTCCAATAAGAATGCATTCAGAAAAATTCATCAATTAAGCATCTCATTCAAATACATGGTTCTAAGGACACCATTATGTCTCTTCGAAAACCACGTATGCGCAAAAAATGTCGCTGATTATAATTCGAGTCCTGGGGCCATACTTTCAAAATTTGCTAAGTGAACGTAAGTACTTACGCTCTTTTCTTGTCTAGGATTGGTGGATTTTGCTTGAAAGGCCGTCAACGATTGGCTGATGAACTTACGATCTCTTGACTTTTTTGAAAGTATGGGCCCTGGAACATAATTTCCCGCTGAGCTGCCAGACCTCGAATTCGAGCTTTCAAAAGGCGACTCGGAATGGTTCTGTTTTGACAGCTGCGACACCTCGCATGACTTGCGACTTCTTAGATCGCTGAAGATTTTTATTTTGACCGTAGGCCGCGTAGGCGCTCAGCACGTGAACATTGCCGAACTATTTTTGCTTTATTAGAATATGATTCATATTGTATTTAACAGTTGAATTCACGAATAATTCAATACATCAGCGTTGCACCAGGTGCAGGAAAAAATTGTAGGACATAGACATCCCAATTAAAATACCATTCATTTTCCAGGGCATAATAATTCAAATACTTGTGAATACATCGACGCATCGGCGTTATACATAAGGCGAGGCAGTATTCCTCAAACGCCAGATATAGACAAATTTAAAATATTTCCACAGTGCAGAACTAACTTGTAGTCGTGAATATATCAGCGTCGTGTACAAGGCCGGTAAACATTCGCTACATAGATAAATTAATTTAAATAATATTCAAATTACAGAACACACTTGTGCATGGAAATACATTAGCGTTGTGAACAGAACGAGAAAGCATTCGGGATGGAATAATTAATTGCCTTTTTATTGACTTATTGGACTTATTGTCTCTATACTCACTCTAACAATAGCATCGGATGTCTTGTAAATTCTTTTAACATATCCGTGCTACAAAAAAAGACCGTTTAATGAAACCTCTGTAGAGTAGAGCGCTATTTGCTTAGAACATATCCGGAACGACCAACTGTTTGATTTGAAGTCATTGTACGATTAAATAACATACGTTTAAAAATTACTTTTTAAAGACAACACTTCTGAAGAATCCAGTGTCTCCAATGTTGAATATGTATGTACAATGAATTTCTCATTTTATTTAGAATATTAAAAAAATTAATTTTCCAATTTTTTACAATATATAAAATTTTTTCAAAATTATTTATTCTATCAATTGATTCATGCATTGCCTCCGACTTCACACAAGTGTGAGTAGTGAATATATCAGCGTCGTGTACATGGCCAGTAAACATTCGCTACATAGATAGATTAATTTAAATAATATTCAAATTACAGAACACACTTGTGCATGGAAATACATTAGCGTTGTGAACAGAACGAGAAAACATTAGGGATAGAATAATTAATTGCCGTTTTATTGACTTATTGGACTTTTGTC